ATGAGGTTGTCACAGTTAGCTGCAGCTTTCCTTTTTCACAGCTATGTACAACTCCACTACATGGACATACCACTATCCTGTTTGATGGACACCTGAATAGTTTCCAGTTTTATGCTATTATGAATGGTGCTTTAGGAACATTACAGTACATCTTTCTGATGATTTCTGCTTATTTAATAGTTAGCAAGTAACTAGAGTATCAGGACTATGAGGGCTTCCTAAGACTACTCTCTCCAACTTTATGATTTCCAATAGGGAAACTGGGGCCCAAGTCTGTCCAGTGAGTTGGTGGGAGAGTGGGGTCTGGATTTCAGTGCTGGTCAGGGACCCTTCCACACTACCACAGCATGTTCATTGTCAGTGCTGAACCTCAGGGACTCAGTAGTCATCCTGCATCTCCACCATTGCCTCTCAACTCCCCACAGGTCCTGGAGCCTCTCCTCTTGGCCCTCCGTTCCAGCTACCATTGACTCTGGACCCGCCAGCCAGGGAGCCAGCCCATTCAGACCTCTTGGATGTTGCCTCCTCTTCCTCTTCCTCTTCCTCCTCTTGCCAACCCTGCTCCCCAGAGCCTGGCAGGGAGACACTAGAGCCTGAGCCAGCAGCAGTGTCTGTGGGAAGTGGAGTGGGTAGGGAGGAAGGCAGGAGTGAGAAGGGGCGCCTCTATTGCCCCACATGTAAGGTGACAGTGAACTCGGCCTCCCAGCTGCAGGCTCACACCACAGGTCAGTGCCCCCCCCCACCGCCCCCGAGCTGGAGCCAGGAGAGGAGGGGAGCAGGAAGGCTGATTTCACCAGGTGTGACCAGCCTGAATTCCTGTGCACTTTGCTCCAGAGCTAGGTGACAGAGGCTCAGTGCCCTGCTGTTACTGGGCAGGCATTTCTGGGTCCTCACCCAGTCCCTGGGGAGGGAACACTGGGAAGTCTGAGGTGCAGTAAGAACTGAAGGTCAGTAAATTCAGACTCCAGAGGACAGGAGGCACTTTTGCTATCTCCTCCCTCTCCCTTAGATTAGAGAAGGAAGGGACTGCAGTTAGAGCCAAAAAGGAGCTAACTAGTCCTTGGGGGACATGGGAAAGGCTAGAGCACAATTCTGTGCAGAGCAGCCTCAGGCTTAAAGGGATAGCCAAACTGATCTACCTTGGTGGGGCCTGTACCTTTGGTACTGACAGACCTTCTTCCCTCCTTCTAGGAGCCAAGCACCGGTGGATGGTGGAAGGTCAACGAGGGATTCCCCGGAGGGGCCGGGGCCGTCCCATGTCCCAAGGCAGGACTGGACACAAAACCAAGAGAGCGACAGGGGGCCGGGGTGGCCGGCAGGGGTCCAGCCCCGCTTTCCACTGTGCTCTCTGTCAGCTCCAGGTCAATTCAGAGACCCAGCTCAAGCAGGTGGGAGAAGGGAGACTGGGTAGTGGTTGTGAAGGGAGAAGAGCAAGGGAAGAGAGGATAGAAAGGAGAGAAGGGGAAGCCTGCAGAAAGGTGGGTGGGACGGGAGAGGGGGTGAGGGAGAAGGGGTGAGGTCATATGGCTCACATCCCAGGGCCACCCCATGGTGAGTACCCAGTACATGTGCAGGCAATTTAAGTGGCGGATAGAGGAAGAGTGAGATAATTAAGGGTGCTAAGAGTAGTTTTAGGGTGTATGGGCTTTCTTTTCTTGTTCCCAGTCTGTCTGTCTCTCCACCAGCACATGAGCAGCAGGAGGCACAAAGACCGCCTGGCTGGGAAGCCCCCCAAACCCTCCAGTCAGCACAGCAAGCTGCAGAAGCAGGCAGCACTGGCTGTGAGTGTCCTCAAGGTATGTCTCCAGGCAACGACACGGGACCCAGAGTCAAGAGGGAGAGGACAACGGAAGTGGGGCGGGGGCACCTGGTGAACTTAGACAGTGGCAGGAAAAGAACTGGCTTTGGGCTTTCGGCCATCCTGGGATCTGCCCAGAGGGATTTCCGGAGATGTGGGCTGGGGTCTTAATCTTAGGGGTAAGAGTCAGGGGTGGGTGTACGTCACCTAGACACCATGTCTACTCGCCTCCTCCCTTCTCCCATCCTGAAGCTGGCCTCCTGGACAGGAAGACAGGTGGTGGAGAAAAGCCCTTTGGAATGACTGGGGGTGGAAGGGAGGAGGATTTAGGTTTGGAACTGAAAAAAGCACGTTCCCCCTTACTGCTTCCCCTAGGCAAAAAGTCCACGGATGGGGCTCAGGGAAGGGGTGAACTTTTCTGGGGCCAGGGGTCCTGTCCATTTTTCTTTCCTTTCTCTGTAGTCTAAACTGGCCTTGCAGAAGCAACTTACCAAGACGCTGGCAGCCCGATTCCTGCCCAGCCCGCTGCCTACTGCTGCCACTGCCATCTGTGCCCTGCCAGGGCCCCTCGCCCTCCGGCCTGCCCCCACAACAGCCGCTACTCTCTTCCCAGCTCCCATCCTGGGCCCAGCTCTGTTTCGCACCCCAGCAGGAGCTGTCCGCCCTGCTGCAGGACCCATCCTCTTTGCTCCTTATTAGTCCTCCTGGAGAGGCTAGGGCTAATTTCCCTGCAGCCACTCACCATCTTCTGCCCCCAAGACACCTATTTCCTATACCCCACAGGGATTGCCTTTGCAGTTTAGGGGATCCTGCCCAATATAGGACAGCTGCCCTTCACTCTGTCTGGACTGGGCACTCAACGAGTTTCCCCAGTCCAAGAGCCATCTCCATCTTCCTTTCCTGGCTCTTCCAGTTAGTCCCAGACTCCCATTTCCAAGCCTGAAGAATCCCAAAGACCTATGCAAAATCTCAGCTCCATGGTGCTCTTTTTCCTCAACCACAGACCTACACACATGGCCAGACTGCAGACATCTTAGCTTCCGCAAGCCAGTTTTTCCTGGCATAGGGATATATCTGGAAACTAATACTATGCTCTGGAGCATCACTGGGTTCTCTAGGGAATCACTGGAGTTAATAAGGGATGGGCTTTCAAGCTGGAGTGGGTTCAAGGTATCAGGACAAGGTGACCACAGGGTGTGGCAGAGGACCATAAATGTGAAAGGGGACCTCAAAGTCCCTTGACCAAGTAGTGCTGGAGGGATAAGAGCCAAGAGGGGGCTAGAAGTAGGTGAAGGGTGGTGTTCTGGCTGGACCTGGTTTTAATTAGTGACCCACATAGCTGGGCTGGGCAAGGTTGTTCACACCTGTAAATCCTACCTACTTGGAATGTAGAGATCAGGATAAAGATCCTCATCTCAACCAACAAGCCCCCATATGGTGGGAGGATTTATGGTGGCTAGGACATAAATGTGAGACCCTATTCAAAAAAATAGCTAAAGCCAAAAGGGCTGGGGGGGAGTGGCTCAAGTAATAGAGTACCTGCCTAGCAAGTACAAGGCCTTGAATTCAACCCCCAATACTGACACTGACACACACACACACACACACACACACACAAAGACAGTCCACCAAAACTCTCTTCCTAGCCTTTCAGATTCCTCCTAAACCCCAGCTCTTGTGTGTGTGGAGGGGGAGGGAGGCGGGAAGACTGGGTCCCCCTCAGACTGTGGGCTCAGCTAACACCAAGTCCCTACAGGGCTCCTAAATGAAGAGCTTTCCCCCACCCTAGACTGGTCCCCAAATTCAGCTATCCCTCCTCCCAGCTACCCCCACTGTGAAGCTACACAGTCCAGTAGCCCTCAAGTTCCACCTTCCTGATGTCAAAGTCAGTGTCATAAACCCCACCCTACCCCTTCACCCCAACATGGAACTTTGCCAGTATCCATGTGCATCTTTTTTTTTTTTTTCCCAAAGATATTTCCAATGGGAGAACAAGAAAATGGGGGGTGGGAGGGGAAAACCTTTTTGGTAACAGCAGTTGTGGTTTTATTGTGTCCAACACATCAATAAATGAACTTTGAGCCTGAGCCTGTGGATGCCCTGACTCTCCTTGCTGAGTCCTGGGTACCAGCCCCTGCTCGCCTGATCTGGGGAGAAGGGACAGGTATTGGAGGTTGCCTGGCTATAGTGTCACACCCATGCTAGGTGTGCATATTTAAAGCATAAAGTGGGCACCAAAAGTTGTGGGTTATAAGCTCACTTGATATCACGTCTGCATGTGAGCCCCAACAGAAGGCCTGTCGGCTCCTAGGACACTGCTACTGGTATGCCTGGCTCTGTTCAGACATTTGAGGTAAGAAGGAAGGGCTAGAGGAGCACCTTGTCCAGCCTTCACCATGGCAGCAGGCATATAAATACAAGTAATATAAATACAAGTCCAGCTACTAGCTGAAAACCAAAGGGAGGGATGGGACCATCCTCCACGGGCAGGTCTGCAGAATGGGCACTAGGTGGCCACTGGCAACTGAGAGTGGAATGCACCCCTGCCCCCTGGTGGTTAGAGGGAGAGACATCCAGCTTCCAGGGCTGATAGGCATAGCACCTTGAAGAGGGAGAAGCAAGGGGACGACAGTCACAGGTGGCCCAAGCCACATCCTTTAGCAAATCATAGAGCTGGAAAGGATCCAGAAGATCATCTAAGCAACTCCTGTCAGTTTACAATGAGAAAACTGACGCCCAGAGGGGAATGGCCTTGCTGAGTCACAAAGTAAGCTGGTGACTAACAGCCAGTCATTACTCCATTCACCTCAACCAATAAGGCCCATCTGCTCCCAAAGCAGGAAGAGGGGCAGTTGGGAGATGGGTAGAGTTCAAGCACACAATGTCACTCCTAGGAGGCTGACTTCTAGTCTCAGGCCAGGGGAAAGGCCGAGTGATGAGGAGTCAGCCCTATCACCAGCGTGTACAAACATGCACTGACAATACTTTGTCTCAAGTCTAGGCTGGTGGCTTAAGTGTGTGTGTGTTACTGGTAGGAAATTCAGAGGGTTGGGAGCCCTGTAATAGGAACCAGACCCTAGACTGGGCACTTCAGCATGGTACTTCTGCTTCCTGCCCAGGGAAAATGGAAGGAAAGCTGACCCACAAGTGCCTCAGGTGATGACACTGGAGAAAATATAATGTAAGCTGGGGGTGGGGTGGAGAGTAGCATGGGGAGGGGTGGTTGAGAGGGGGGAACTAATCAAGTGCAAGATTATTTGCACTTCATAGATTTGAGAGGGAACAAAAGTGGCTTTGGCCTGGACCAGTCCAGCTGCCTAGCCAATGGAGTGCTTCCCCTTCTGACCCCTCTTGCCCTCAACCCAGAAGCTGGAACAGGGTTGGGAGGGTGAAGAAAGAATGGCAGCTCTTCAGCCATCCAAGGAGCCACTGCCCTTGTTCTTGCGGCTGAGGGGAAAGGCAGACTTGCTCTGGGGCTGGGTCATCTTGCTGGCCAGGTAGACAAAGGGCTCCAGGAGGGAGCGACGGTCAGCTACTGATACCTCCCACAGCTTCACCTTCTCTGACTTGGCCCAATGCTGAGCCACATCTGGGTCTACGCGCCGCTGCTCCTGCAAGTCACACTTGTTGCCAAGGACCACAATGGTGACCTGAGGAAGAGAGACAGTGTAGAAAACCTGTGGGTATACCATGGACCTCAGGATCAGATGTGGGGGCCGTCAGGTGCTGGCTAAACAACCGATGAGGAACCATGCCCAGAGGCCTGCAGCTTAGAGAAGGGTTTTAGAGAACTGGGCAAGAGCATGGAACCATTAGAGAAAAACACTAGGGGGAGTTGCATGTGTTAGGTTGGGGACTCCTTCACCCAAAGAGAAGCCTCTTTGGTTGAGCTGCCTTGTATGTGGCCACATCAGAGATGAAGACACCCTCCAGTGACCTCCACCCGCTTCTCACTCCTAACCCACCTCTTGGCAAAGAATGAAAAATGAAGCCATGCTCAATCTCCCAAAGCCAACCCAGGGCCCATACTCTTCCATCACTGGGGCCCAGCAGGAGCCTAGGCTATGCACCTCCTTCTTGTCCTTGGACTTGTCAATCTCTTTCTTGAGCAGTTCCACACGCTGAAAAGACTCTCGGCTGTCTGTGCTGTAGACCAGGACGTAGCCATCGGTACAAGAGAAGCAGTGCCGGGGCAGCTCAGCCCCATCTCGGAGCCCCCGAGTGTCATAGAAACGCACTTGCTCCCGCACTCCCCGGTCTGTCTCAATGGAGCCCACATAGATATCCTCCTGGGTCTCAATCATCTCAGAACCTGGGATAAAATGAGAACACTCATTTGAAATGGGGAGGGGGATGAGAAATATGAATGATAAGGAGGACATCCTAACAGGCTGGCCAGTGAGAGAAAGGGGCTGAGAGGCCAGACGTCAGTCTGGCAGGGCTGGGATGATTTGGGGGAAACAGATGTGAATGTTATGCTAATACCATGCTAAGCACAAGTTTATCATGGGAGTATTTCCTTCCTATCTTGGATACTGGGTTTCTTCCCTTTAGGTTTGTTCAATGTTGCAGAACTGGTGGTTATGATATTAGTTTTACTTTTTTCTTTCTGTTGTTTGGTTTTTGGTTTTGGTGCTGGGGTTCAAACCCAGGGCCTCAAACATGCTGGGCAAGTGCTCTACCACTGAACTACATCCCAGCTCTAGTTTTACTTTTAAGGGTGCAAAACCCACTGCTGAGTGTGTATGTATGGTGTCATGGTATGATCAAATCCTATTCCTTTTTTTTCTGTTTTTTTTGAGACAGGGTCTTGCTCTGTACTTGAGGGAACTCACTATGTAGCACAGCCTGGCCTCAAACGCAAGATCATCCTGCTTCAGCCTCCCAAGTGCTGAGATTACAGGCATGGGTCACCACACCCAGCTCTATTCTTTATTCTTCAATGTCTTCTATTTCTCCCAGCTGCAACAACACTCACCTACTACATGGTTCCCGTACAGGAGCTGCTCCAGGATTGAAGTTTTGCCCACAGATGCCTGGCCACACACGACCACCTTGCAGCTCTTCCCCATGCTTAGCACCTTGAAGGAATAGAAGCACTCTGGGTGAAGTAAGAGAAGAGAGGCTCAAAATAGAGAGCAGATCTCTTATAACTGACAGCCCAAGTTTGGAAATGAATGAAAACGCTTCAGGGATTCAGCACTACCCTGACTCTAGTTGGGGTGCACTGACGTGTCTATGTCCACTATTAGCCAATGAGCTGGACTGTATTCATCTTGTTATTCCCAATACATGGCCAGTATTTGGAATAGAGCAAGTGCTCAGTAAATGTTGCCATAAAGGCAGAGAAGACTCACTGGTTTAAAGAGTCACTAGCCAGGTTCCTTTCTGTACACAAGATGTGGAGAGCACCAATTACTGAAGGCAGCTCCTCCCACTTTTCTCTTAAACTACCATCCCGTGAAGAAATAAGCAGGAATAGGATTTTGTGTGGATATGTCTTAAGTCACCTTCTCTTTGGGGAGGGGGGGAGAAAGAAAATAAACTTTCTTTTTTATGACTTATTTGGATAACAATCAATTCCTTCTAACCCATAGTTAAATCCGTGGCTAAAATGAAAAACAGCAGACAAGAAAGGGGTGAAGGAATCTCAGAGGATTTAAAAAAAAAAAAAACGGCTTCAGAAAGGACATTTTGCTGTCCTTGCACTGACAGACCCAAAGGGAAGGCCCAGACACAGAAACTCTTTCTCTGATTAGACTCCAGAGAGAGAGAGAGAGCTCCCCAAAAGCAAAGTTCCAAACATAGAATCCCCAGGAAATCCTGACAAAAATTCCCCACAGAAAGCAGAGATCCAGAGGCCACTCCCAACGTGGGTCCCAACAGAAACTTCCCGACACTGACGCCCACCCCCAGGTACTGAGCCTTGCAATTAAGGGATACGCAAGAAAGACTACCAGAAGGGCCTCCGTCACAGATTTCCCCAGGAGGGGGCCCCCACAGGAAATAAGAGGTAAAGAACTGCCACCTAAAGCGGCCCAGGGGCAAAAGCCGATCCAGAGGTTGGACGAGCCCGAATTTCCAGCTTCGTACTTCCCCAGGCCCCAGAAGTACCCCTGCCCGGCCCCTCGGAGCGCGCAGGAACCAGGGAAGGGGTAGCACGACGGTCAGGACTCCCGGTTTCCTCCGGGTGGAAGCAGGCGCCCTGGGGCTCCGCCCCCGCCGCCCGCCCGCCCGCCCCCAACTTCCGGTCTGGAAGGTGACTTCCGGCGGCCGAGAGTCAGCTCTGGCAGCACAGCGTCCCCGGAGGCTGGCGGGGGAATGGGGTCAGCACCTGGTCTGGTTGGGTATGGACGCCCTGTTCTGGGCTCTCTGATGCCAAAAGTTCCCTCTCTAAAGCCTGTCACAGTACTGAACGCTTCGTTTATTCGTCAGATTTTTTTTTTCTGGCGCTGGGGATCGAATCCTAGGGTCTTGTTAATGCGAGACAAGCGCTCTTACCACTGAGGTACAAACCCAGCCCTCCTCAAATGCTTTCTGAGCCCGGTGGGATGGCCCTGGCCTGTGATCCTAGCACTCGGAGATTGACCGGATTGTAAATTCCAGGCTAGCCTAAACTACACAGCGAGACCCTATCCGGAAAAAAGAAAAAGTTTTCTGAGCATTTACCCTATGTTGTCTACGCAGGGCCACATGCGAGGAAAAGCCAAATTAGGCTTTTCTCTCATGCGAACGTCACCGTCTAGAGGAGCTAGACATCTAAGCCAACAGTTACAGTGCAGCGTGGTGAGTACTATTACAGATGTGCCATGGGGGGGCGCAGCAAAGGGCTGTTTAACTGGGGGTGGTGCACGTCAAAGAGAACTTCCAGGCGCAGGCCATGCCTGTGTAGAGGTTTGAAGGGCTTAGAGGAAGAGGGTGCCTAGGACAGAGGAAACATGGCAAGAGTAATGGAACTGCAATTACTTGGATCTTGATGGTGGAAAGAAGCCAAATAATCAAAGGCATTGTATGGTAGGGAAACCGGAGTTTTGGACCCAAGGCCCAAACTCCTGAGACTCCATATGCAGGTCAGGCCACTCGCCCCTAAATGCCAAGTAAAGAGGCATGGTGAAGGCAGAGAAAGGAGTTTATTACACAGCTGGGGACATGCTGTGGGAAGAGGCAGAGTAAGCACCCAGCCCATCTTCAGCCCTCTTCCAGGGTTTAAGTAGACAAAAGAACTGGAGGCAGGGGACAAAGCTATGCATAAACAGTCTCAGCCACTGGTTGACCATTATCCCAGTCCAAGGGTTCCCAGGGGACTTCTGGAGAACATGTTGTTGCTGTCATCAACTTTAGGGGAGTGATCTGGTTCCCATGAGATGATTGTTACCACTCCAGTGTGCAGACTCCCCATTATAGATAATTGTTCTCATTTGGAGGGGTGGTCTGTCCACTATTCCTTATGAGAAGTTTCAGCCCCTTGTCATAAAGATGTTACCAGTTCTGTCCTTTCTGGAATCCAAGGTGATTGCAAAATGACTGCAAAGAGAATGGCTTAGAGCAAAGACAGATACAAAGTGGAGGCAGGTATGCCAAGCTTCTGGTTTTAATTAATTCATGTGCCCAAGTAAGGAGTCAGTATTTCTCAGAAAAAGCAATTTGTGCACCTCTTACAATTGGCCAAAGTGATCAAAATCACCATAGTAAAAGATCATTGAGGGCTGGAGGGGTTCAAGCAGTAGAGCACCTGCCTAGCAAGTGCAAAGCCCTGAGTTCAAGCCTCAAAAAAAAAGCCATTGATAAGGTTTTGTGCCAGTGAAGTGACATGATCAGTTTTTGCTTTCAAGAGTCACTTTGGGGGGGTGGGGGCAGGGGGGAGAAATGAACCAAGCCTTGTATGCACATATGAATAATAAAAGAAAAATGAAAAAAAAAAAAAAAAGAGTCACTTTGGCTAGGTGCTAGTGGCTCATGCCTGTAATCCTAACTACTTGCGAGGCTGATCAGGAGGATCACAGTTTGAGATCAGCCTGGGCAAATAGTTTGAGACCCATCTCCAAAAATAACCAGAGCAAAATGGACTAGAGGAATGGCTCTAGTGGCAGAGTGCCTGCTTTGCAAGGATGAAGTCCTGAGTTCAAATCCCAGTTCCACCAAAAAAAAAAGTCACTTCTCGCAGAAGAGTCAACATTGCAGAGACATGAGACTGGGGGCCAATTTTTAAAACTCTTTGATTTTTTTTTTTTAAAATGACAAGAGCCTGAATTGGGATGGAAAAGAGGGGGACAGATTCAGATTTTTGGCAGGAGAATCAACAAAGCTTGGTGATAAATTGGAGAAAGAATGCAGAGCTTATATTCCTGTTTGTCATTTGAGAAACATGGTTGCATCCATTCAACAAGATAAAAAATTCAAGAAAGAGAATCAAGTATACTATTTTTTTCCTGTTAAGGAGTGGGGGGAGAATGAGTTCAATAAATATGTTAAGCCTGGGGGATTTGTGAAACACCCAGGAGCTATCCAGAGGTAGTTGGATGTACAAGTCTGGAACACTGAAGGTCTAGGTTGGAGATAGTAAGAGTTTAGAATCATCAAGAGATGAAATTAAAGCTATGGGAGTAAATGAGTTGGCTCAGATATAGAGAACAGAAAGTGGGAAGATGGTCAAAATCAAAACAGCTCCTAGATTAGATTGTAGACTTAACTACTGGCAGGCAGGGCAGGTAGTCTGAGTTTTGTGCCCTCCCATCTAGCAGGTTAGGTATTTTGAAAAGCACTAATAAATGATAGGCTGGATGAATGACCTCTTCTAATCCACTGAGCCTCACCTGTCCTTCCCTACCTGTAGTTCCTGAGGTTTGTTTCCTCAGCACTGATAGATTGGGGAGGAAGGAAAATAGATCCTCTTAAAATCCAATGTCCCAGTCTTATTCTTAGCTTATTATTTATTTATTTATTTTATTTAATAATTTCGGTACTGGGGTTTGAACTCAGGAGCCTTGTGCTTGCTAGTAGGCAGGAGCTCTACTCCCCAAGTCACATTCCCAGCCCTTCCCTTTAGCTTTAAAATATGACCTCAGACTCCCTAGATTTAACCTCAGAAAGCCCCAATTTAATTCAACCCCAACATTATGGTTCGGGTGAGGGAACTACTACAAAGATGATTAAGACGTGTTCTTCCTTCTATGAGTTCCCAATCCAGACTGCATTCGGCCAGACAAGCGTACTGAGCAGTTTATGAGAGGTGGGAATAGTGGGGACACGGAGGAGCAGGGACCTCACCCCATGAGCTGCCTTATAAACTCCGAGGCTGGGGCTGGGGCGCCATGTCATGCCAGCCTACCTAGGCTTAATGCTGAGATGGCACTCCCAGGGCGGCTGACATGAAAGCAACCTCATAAAAGGGTCAGCGTCATTAGGGTGATGAACCAGTTGGTGCTTGGAGATCCGGCGGGGATGAAAGGCGCGGGGTGAAGACGCCCTGCGTTCCCTCTGGCTTGGCTGGGCAGGGCTTCCAGGGAGCGATGAAAGCTGGGGTACGGGGCTCAGAGTGTCTCTTGCCTTTCCCGGGAGGAAGCTGTGGCCACACTCCGAGATAGTCGTGGGCGCTTCTTCCCTCCAGAATTTTGGGTGACTTGGTTCCCACCCAACTCAAGACTCCCCTGAGCCTTACAGGAGACGCTCTAGGATTGACGGTTGCTATGGCACCCAGGCTCTCGGCATACTGAGGCAAGCCAAGGCCTAGAGAGGCAACACCTTCCTGTGCCGCTTCGTACCCACGGGTAAAGTGGCGCCCCCTACGCACAGGAGCTGTCCCTGGGCCCCCGCCCCCGCGCGGAGACCACCGTGGACCTCCAGGGACGGAAGGCCGCTCTGGCCCCTGGCGGAGCCTCTCGTTGGTAGACGGGCCCGAGGGAGCCCCTCTGGGCGCTGCGCCGCTGAGCGGCTCGATGCTCCGGCCGGAAGTGCTCTTCACCGCCTGCCTCCCACCCGGCTCTCTGGTCTCGGCGGTAAGATGGCGGCTGCCGCGGAGTGCGATGTGGTAATGGCGGCGACCGAGCCAGAGCTACTCGAGGACGAAGAAGCGAAGAGGTAACCGGGTGGCAGAGTAGAGGAGGAGGCGATGGCTTCAGCCCAATGGCTCAGGGAAGCTCATGTCTGCTGTGATGCAGGCCCCAGTTGTTGAGGCGATGCCCCGCCCTCCGAGAACAACCCCCCACCCCCAATCTGAGATCAGGTCCGGATGGACCCCCTGAAGGGGCGCTCTCCGGGGTCGACCTTTCCCTCCTGCTTCCGCCTGGCGAGGGAGGCATGGCCTAGTTCTGCGGAGGGAAAGGTCGTCCTTACTGTAGAGGCCAGGTCTCTAATGAGGGGGGAGCTCAGAGGTCTGTTGCGGGGTGGGGGAGGTGGCGTGGCGTCGATGATGACTTCCTTGCATGGTCCCGACCCCCGCCTCCTCATGTCAGCTCCTATGCATTGTTATCTGCCTGCACCTCACGTCTCCAAGCCTTCACTCTCCTCCGCACCTCTTTTTTCCTTGACGATTGTACCCCAGCGATCAGCAGTCTGGCTCCGAGGTGACCGTGTCTCTAGAAGTTAGAGGAAGAAGAAAGAGTGAGGACCTGTGCCATGTTCTCCCCGTCGCATTCCTCTTTGCCGTCCTGGGGGAGGGGGCTTACCCCTCTCAGGACCACTCTGTTAAGCGCAGGAGAGCAGCTGCTCGGGTGCAGTTGGCATGCCGGGCAGCCGCAGAGGTCCCACTAGCCAAGGTTGCTGCTGAGTGAGTGGTTTTCCAGAACACTCTGGATTCTGGCAACAGCTAAGGCAGGTTGTTGGAAGTGGCTTGGAACACAGTTGTAGGCATACTTATTCAAATTCTAAAGCTGAATTTATTAAAGGGTTCTGGAAGCTTGGGCCTTTCCTTATCAGCTGCAGGTTAACTTGATCCTTTTGTTCAGGACTGACTGCAGTGCCCCCAGTCTTCCCTACTTCCTATTTTTATGCCAAGCCCCTTACATTTGAGTCATTTGAGATGGTGTCATAGAATTAGTTCAGGAGATCTGAAATCAGTGTTCAGAGTTTAACTGTCCATGTTAGAAACATAACAGGTGGGCACAATGAATATGTAGTTATTAAGCTTGGGGGGTAGTTATCCCAGCCAGTGCCTCAAGTTCCTGACCTGTTGGGAGTAGAGAGACTTAACAAAGTGTAGTAGGTTCTTGGGATATCAGAATACAGGTCTCTTTTTTAAGTTTGGGTTTTCACATTTCCAGTATTTAGAGGTAAGCATGATAAGCATCATCAGTTTGTATCGATTATTAAGGAACAGCAAAATGAGAAACAAAACTCAACACAGGGCTTAAATTTGTTGTAAGGATTTTACCTTACTTGTATTTGGAAAGAGTTTGGTTGTTCTTAGTGCTATAAATAGGGACTTTGGCCCTATCTACTCAGTGTAAATCTGTTGTAAGGAATGTTGCTAATTTGGGCTTCACTTCAGAGCCCCTTATCTAAAATAAATCCTTTTCCTCAAGGAAAAAAAAAAAAAACCTCAGCTTTAAAGGATGTTATATTATAAAATTGTTGCAAATGAACCTGAAGATATTTTAAGAAATATAAAACAGATAATGCTAGAATGTGGCAGATCACATGTATTTGGTAACAATACATCAAAATAAACGTGGGTGTTGGCTTAACTGCCTTATTTCATGGAATTTAAGGTGTCATGTCATTTCTTGTAAAATGCACAATTTTATATACCACTAAGAAGGTATAAGTTAGATAATAGAAAAGTGTTTTACCACTTACATGTTATCTGTATTATATAGAGTTCCTTTGGACATAGTAAAGTAGATGTTTATTATGTACCACTTCTGTGCACAAATCAAAAGGAAAATAAGTGAAATAAAAAAAAATCACTTTGACTTTGTGCAATGTAAGACATCCTTCCAAAGGTAAACATTAGGATCTGTTGATATGAAAAGGCCTTCTTTATGATTTTCCAGTGCTGCTCTCCAGTGGAGATTTAGAACCTTTGAAGGGGGGTGGTTTTACATTTTTCATGTTTCATGGAATCCTCCTGTATTAAGTAGAGACACATCCCTTATAAATGCCCTTTTACTATCTGGCTTGGTATCATTTGACTAAGTTCCTGTCTCTCTTGTTACACTCCTACTACCAGTTCACTTAGGGACACAAGAGTGGATGGATCCCTTTGGTGGTTTTTGTGAGGCCTATTAAGGGGTGCTTCTTTCCTTATGTCTTGGGTCACTTACATCTTGCTGCTATGCTAAATTGTCACAGTCCTACAGGGGGCAAGATGAGAGGAGATTTCAAGACACTAGACCTCATGACTGCAGCATTTTAAGTGGCTGCAGTCACTTAAAAATGTTTTATTTACTTAGCATTAGGCTGTCTAGAGAAAAAGGACTTGTCACTCTGACAAGGTTTCTCTTTTGCTACCTGCAGCTAAGAAGCTAAAGTGAAGGATGTATTATTTTGCACTTCAAAATAGATCAGGAATCTGTTCATGAAGATTGTTTCTTTGCCCACTAGAACAAAGTACTTAGGAGCTAGAGGGTTAAAGTTCAGAGGTTTTCATTTAATCTAACTCAAGGCCTTAGATTTTTCTGGGAAATTGCTAACCATTTTACCTAATATGTGAATACCTGTCCTTTTTTTTTTTTCTTTTTTGTGATACTGGGCTTTGTACTGAGGTCCTCACGCTTTGTAGGCAGGTGCTGTACTGCTTGAACCACTCCCCCCAATCCTTTTTTATTTTTTTTTTTGGTGTTCTGGAGTTTGAATTCAGGGCCTACACATTGAGCCACTCCACCAGCCCTTTTTTTTTTTTGGTGATGGGTTTTTTTGAGATAGGTTCTCAAAGGCTGGCCCTCAAATCATGATTCTCCTGATCTCTCTATCCTGAGTAGCAAGGATTACAAGTATGAGCCACTGATACCCAGCCTGTATTGGTTATTTTTGAGATAGAGTCTCATGAACTATTTGCCCAAGCTGGCTCCGTACCAGGATCCTCCTGATCTCTTATCTCCTGTGTAGCTAGTATTATAGGTATAAGCCACTGGCACCCACTGTGAATACCTGTCTTGAGTTAAGGCTTTCTGCACATATCTCTTGGGCTCTGGAGCAGCTTATTCTCTGAGATAGTCATCATTATTGTATATTGGAGAATTTAAAACTCTTTAGCAAAAAGGAAATACTTCTGTTTCAACATATACCTGGTGTGACTGTACAGTTAGGTCTAACATAATGAAAGGAGCCATAGACCTAGGAGGCCAGAACATCCTTACCTGCTTCCTAGAGCTGATATTCTTCTATTTTTTATTCTTTTATCTGCTATCTATTTTCCTGCTGCACATAGGCAAGAGCATTTCTTACTAGGCTCTTTGTATCTAAGTATTGTAAACCCTTTGTGGATTAGAAGTCTGCCTTTTAATTCTCTATCCATACTGTCGATGGGAAGAACTGACCCTTGAATCCATATCCCAGGTTCTATTTGTTCTGCAGCCTAGGGCTTTTTGTAGTTTATGGCCTCACTTAACTGAAGAGCTTCTGAGGATGCCTCTTGCTTTTCTTCCTTGGCCTATTTAACATTAGGAATTTGTTCCTTTTTCCATCTCTTGATGTTCTAGGGCAAGCAGTTGAATATTTCAGTAAGCCTACAAGCTGAATGGGAATAACTAGAATGAGAAACATTTCATTTTGGGTTTTTTTTGTTTTGTTTTGCTTTTTTAGGCAGTACTGCGGTTTGAACTCAGGACCTCATGCTTACTATGCAGGCACTCTACCACTTGAGCCACTCCACCAGTCCATTTTGGTTTGTTTTTAAGAGTGGGGTTAGAGATGAAGAAATGGGAGATGGGAGAAATGGAGTCATGGTTAAGGAAGGAATAAACCTAGGAATGTAGCTGGTAGAGTGACTCAAGTGGTAGAGCACCTGTCTAGCAAGCATTGAAGCTCTGAGTTCAAATCCCAGTACCACAAAAAAAAAAATTGCCTGGTGCTGGTGGCTCATGCCTGTAATCCTAACTACTTAGGAGGCAGCGATCAGGAGGATCATGGTTTGAAGCCAGCCTCTATCTGGAAAAATCCTACCACAAAAAAAAGACTGGCAGAGTGACTCAAGTAGTGAGTTCTGCCTAGCAAGCATGAGGTCCTGAGTTCAAACTCTGTCGTCCCCCCCCCAAAAAAAAAAGAGATCAGGAGGATTGAGTTCAAAGCTAGTCTAGCAAGTTCTAGAGACTATCTTGATAGTTTAGAGACTCTTGAAAACACAAAAAAGGGCTGGCAGAGTGGCTTAAGTAGTAAAGCTCCTTCCCTGAGTTCAATTCCCAGGACTGCCACAAAAAAAAAAAAAAAAAAAATCCTGGGAATACGGAATCCTGAATAAAGCGAATTAATTGAGCCCTGACACTAACAAGTGACATAATTGTTAAATCATAACTAGCAAAACTATAGGACAAGAGGTCTCTTTATTACTATTAGTTCAGATTCATATATTGACTAGTGCCAAGTAAACCGAGCACTTTTAAGGAAATGTTGGATTAGGACTGGGGGCATGGTTCAAGAAATAAAGCACTTGGCTGGCATGTGTGAGGCCCTGAGTTCAATCCCCAGTGCTGCAAAAAAAAAAAAAAGAAAGAAAATGAAAATGTTGGATCAAGTGAGTGGCAGTTGCTCTAGTGGCCTACTGCATTTCCAATGACCAGAATTCTGATTGGCTTAGAGCTCAATCTTACTGTACATTTCAGCCAATCAGGGATTATTCAGTAAAACCAGTATTTTAAAAGTTTTTAAAAAGCTGAGTACTGGGTACCTGCCTTGGCTTTTTTTGCTCTAGGACTTTTAGAAGATTGGAGAACAATGGTCAGCAACTGCCTAGGTGCCTTGTGGCCTGATGCAAAGACCCTTTGAGAGCCTATTTCTCCCTTATTCCAGTGCTGAGTGATGTGGAAGTTACGTAGAGGTCGTTCCAGGTATTCTCTTAAACTGAATTTGAGCAATAAGAGCAGGTTTCAGAGTGCACTTTTTCCAGTAGGCTCTTCATTTTATTAAAATGACAGTTTATTTTT